ACAGTGGTGCTTGAAAGTTTGTGAATCCTTTATAATTTTTTATATTTTGCATAAATATGACCTAAAACATCAGATTTTCATAGAAGTCCTAAAAGTAGATTAAAGCCCCTTATCCACGGGTCTTTTTGGTACTCCTATGTAACTAGTTGTGGCCGATTGCAGGATTTATCAACAATGCCTCTAGTGGTGGAACCCACCCCATTTTTGGGACCTAAATCTCTGAGGTCCCAGGTCTGGTTCTTGTAGGGTCTAGTTGTGACATCAGCGCACTGTAGGTCACTGATTGGTCAGGGGGCGTATTCATTGGTGGAGGGCGGAGATTCAGTCTTCCACCGGAAATCACAATCCACCATTTTCTTTTTCACCCGCATAACAGACAACAAGAAATCGGAGGAGCTTATTTTGGAATATTTTATAAGGTAAAACAAATAATCATGGCACAACCGTGGTCGAATGCTGAAGTTCAGGCATTTCTCTGTTTGCTGGCCGATGAACAAGTGCAGCGCGAGCTAGATGGAACGAAACGAAATGAAAAGATTTTTCAAGAGGTGTCTGCGCAGATGGCGGTGCAGGGCTTCCATCGCACACCAAAGCAAAGAGGAAAGCTTAAAAAACTAATAGTTGATGGTGAGTGTATTTTATTTACTTTAAGCATATTTCCTTTTCCTCATGCAACCGTTTCTTTGCGCTTTCTGAAAGTACTCTGAACAAACGAGGCTGACGCGGTTACGTCGTCATTAGTTAGCATCATTGCTAACTGTACTCTGTTGCTGTTTTTCCACTCTTATTTTGATGCAGAAAGTCCCACTGAACATGAAGGTTCGCCAGATTCTGCTTTTGACTGTCCAGTCCTCCCCGCTTCTGACCCTTCCCGACCACACCAGCTCCGAGTACATGCACGCCACCGGGCACATCCACGCCACCGAGTACATGCACGCCACCGGGCAACACGCAGCAGAGCGGCACCAAACAGCACCCGTTACTAGGTAAGAAGCAACAATCGTGTTTAACATCACATTGATCATGTCGATATGAATGTTGTTTTGTTTTTGTTGTAAAACACCTTGCATGTATTCAAACTACTTGTTTATTCAGTTGTAATGGATAAATGTTAAATTTAGTTATTCATTTATTACTTAAACTTTCATTTATGAAGTTTATTATTGAAATTATACAGGGTGTAGTGATTTTTGTTCAGATTAACGATGCTCTGTTCTTTTTCTAAATTAGCACAAACCGTTGTAAATGACTACATGTAGTTTATTTATGCCCACCTGCTTACTATCATTAAAGTACTAGACTGCTTTATGAACAGAATCATTTCTGATCTTGTGAACAAACACCTTTTGAAATTAGCAGGAACTTTAATGTAAATAATTTATTTAAAAACTCTACCTGTACTTCATCATCTAACAGCCATTTTCTTGTGTGTTATTCCTAGGCAATAGAAAGCGCAGATCAACAAGTGCAGCAGAGAGCTTTGTTTCTGCACATACAGAACAAGAGGAGATGAACCGGAAGCAGAGAGAGGAACACTTCCATTTTATTTGTGAGGATGCCAACAAGGCAAGGCAAGAAGAAGCTGCAGCAGCGAGGAAGCAGGAGAAGGCAATTAGGAGGGAGGAGATGGCCTTGAGGAGAGAGGAAGCAGATGTTCGCAGAGAGGAAGCAGCACAGCGAAGGCAGGAGGCTGAACAGAGTGCTGCTTTCAGTCAGGCACTCCTTGGGGTGCTGGAATCCATTGCCCGTTCCATGGCAAACAGACATGTTTAAAAATATTTAGAGTAGATCATAGTTATCTATAGAAATGTAGATCCTGCAAGGTAAGCCCACAAATAGCCAAACGTAGCTTGTTAAGTTTGCATATATAATTAGTGTATAATTGTTTTTTTTTGTACAGGTCTTTATTTCTAATAAAATAAACATTTTCAAGTCTTGAGCTTCCATCTGATCATCAAAAGTGAAGTGCTTACAGTGTTTTTTTACGTCAATAGTGTAGGATAAGTGAAGTAATTGTTTTTTTACCTGTAACAATGCTGGTGAAGATTCTCAGTTATCCTTGACACGGCAAATCCCCCCCAAAAAATATAAAAACAAAACCACAAGACTTTTTTTAAAACTGAAGACGTTTCGCTAATCATCCGAGGAGCACTCACAATTCAATGAAAAAAGGAATCTGGGATTAAAGTTATAAAGCTGTGGTGTTCTGTAAGCTTGCTGGAGGTTTTCAGTCATTGCATGTCAAACACCTCGGCCATGATGTCCATCTTGTGGATCCAGCAGCTTCTGCATCTTTTTCGCCCAAGGTCAAAAATTCTCTCCACGACTTTCACTGTGGTACAAAGGAGCACTAACTTAATATTACTTAACAGCACTTCAATCATGAAGATAATTTGCGACAGCTTAATTTAAAGAGCTGCGTGGTAAACATAAACTCTGAAAGAGTTGTTAAATATCAAATCAAATGTAGGTTATTATGTAATGTACGTAATAAATATATATATATATATACATACATACATACATACATACATATATAAAAATCAAATTACAAAAAGACTATTAATCCCAGAGGGAAATTAAATGTAATTCATCATCCTGGTTTCATTAAAGAGTTGTTCTAGATGCTGATGGCTGTGGGCAGGAAGGATCTCTTGTAGCGTCTGTCTTACAAGGGATCTGAAGAAGCCTCTGGCTGAAGACATATATATATATATATATATATATATATATATATATATATATATTAAAATAGATTAATGTATATATGCATAAACAAATATAAAGTTCTTGTTGTAGGTTTTGGTTCTTTGTTAAAAACAAAAATTAAAGAGATTACAGTTTTTCTAAAACTACAGCCACTAAAAAACGCAGCATATGTGATAGAAGCACAGCAGCAGTGTTTGTTTTGCCATTTTTACACGAACCTGGTAATAAGGCATGTCTGTACATTAAAAAAACAAGAATAATTATTAATCCATGTTTATTTTCAAATCAACACTTTAACGTTCACTTGTATCTAAGGAAGGCTGGGGAGGTAAAAAAAGATTAAGGGGTGGAATTAGGATAAGTTACAGCTCATGATCCATCAGAGCATCTCTGACACCTCGGCCCTGCTCTCCATCTTGCGGGACAGCGACCAGGATGGGCTGTGCGGCTGGTTCTGCTTCAAGTTCATGTAGGTCATCCATTTTGGTTGTGTGTTGTTTTCCAGCTCTTCTTCTAATGCATGTTAGTGGTGCTTAGAAAAGAGCTTAATGTAGCACTACCGCCACCAGCTGGTAAGGTGCATTGATATTAATAATCCGCCCACTAGAGGTGAACAATCCGCCCACTAAACGGGAACTATAGGCAAAGGTGAGACACAAAAATAGAGGTCCCACTAGAACCGGACACAACAGGCTACAACAAGAAACAGACCTGTGGATAAGGGGCTTAAGAGAACCCAGTTAAACAAATGAGACAACATATTATACATATATATATCATATCATTTATTTATTGAGGATAATCATCCAATATTACATATTAGTGGTCAAAGTATGTGAACCTCTATGATTATCAGTTATTTTGAAGGTGAAATTAGAGTCGGGTGTTTCAATCAATGGGATGATGATCAGGTGTGAGTGGGCACCCTGTTTGATTTAAAGAACAGGATCTATCAAAGTCTGCTCTTGGATGGAGCGAGTGCTGGGAGATTCATGCGGGAGCCTGTTGGGTGGTGGTTGACGGCGACGCGGGAAATTTTTGAAAGTTTGAAATTTTTGTTTCCATATATACCGTTTTTCTTTTTGAATTTGGTGGTTGGCATAAACTGGAATGCGACTGGATCGGGATGACTACTCAGGCAGATTACAATGAGGATATGGATTTTGATAAGTGGACTCCGGTAGGTAGAGGAGGAGGAAAAGGTAAGGGTAAAGCTTTGAGAGATGACAGAGAGCTTGGCAGCCATAGTAATAAGAGAAGCCTTGAAGAGTAGTTCAGAGGATGAAAACAGACTGGTTAGAAGGAAAGTGATAAATGAGGAACTTAAGGTCGTACTTCAATTCAAGAAAGAAGATGAGAACATGAATCTAAGTCCTGTAGCGATATCTAAAGATATAAAAAAGAAAGTAGGTGAGGTGGAGTTTGCAAAAATGCTGCATGATGGGAACCTGTTGATCAAATGTAAATCTGAAGAACAACAAAATA